CAAAAAAATCTCTTTTTTGTTGTTGTTGGCCACTGGTGTTCACCACATATGGTCCTCGGGCGATACGCTCTTGCCCACCACCCCTTCGAAATGCGCAAGGACGGGATGAAACGGCATGGATCCTTTTATTAAAACGCCCTGTATTACAAAGGCATTTTAATAAAAAGATTGTGATGACTTCAGTGCCTCACCAGCCATAAACCTCGCATGTCACTGGATGTAAATATGTAGTCAGTTTTGTAAGGTATGAGGAATTCAAAAAGTTTGAATTCCTCATACCTTACAAAACTGGTTACATTTTTAAGCATGTTGGTTTATGAGAATGGAATAAGTGTTCTATGTATTAATATTTAGGCCATTTATCAAAATAAGGACAGTATTTGTTAGTTGGAGAAAATCTCCTGTACAGTGGAACCTCCGTTCCAAGACTTCGGTCATCACCCAATTTGGTCATGACTGGAAGCAAGACTGACTGCGCATGCGCAAACAAACAAAAAAAGGTATGGAAGGGGAAATCACTGTGGCAGGGAAAATTGCTGTGGCTGTGATTGATCGCCACCCGAGGATGTGTTCATGAACAGAGAAAAACATTTAGCGGATTTTTTGGTCGGCACCCGATTTGGTTGTGGTTAGAAGTGTTTGTGACCCAGGATTCCATTGTATAACCTTTCAAAGGCAGCTGGTCATCATATGATCCAGGGTCTGAGGAGCACATTCAGGGGAAGATACTCTGACCCATTGAAACAGAGAGTCTTGACGTGGCCACGCGAGGTGCAAATCCAATTCAGAGTTTTTCCTCATCGAACCTGCTAAATTTTGTATCAGGTCAGATATATTTCCATAATGCCTGGATATGGTGAGAGAAAGAGATTCATTTCATCTCAATACCAATGTCTATGAAAAAAATTATAGGTGTAATGGAAAGCATGGAGGACCTTAGGGAAGGAGGGGAGAAGATGCTGCTTAGGAGACAATCAGGCAAGAGAGGAAGGAGCTCCCAGTGGCTTACTGGTCAGAGAAAAAAACTTAGGAATTGCCCACCTTAATGGATCAAATGGTTAAAAGTGGAAATGGGAAGTTTATACTTTTAGCCTGTTAATATAGCCTTAAAATAAAGAAGGATTGGTTCACCTAGTTATGTTTTCTGGGAGGGTTGACCTGAATCTTTCAAGTTTAAAATTACAAATGTCTGGCCATCACTTTTAACATTACAATAAGTGACAATTTATAACAAGACTTTGTGGAAAGGAAAAGCATCTGCTGTGAATATGCAAAAGTAACCTGTGACTATGTATTAATGTTTTGATAGACTGATGAAGGTTTATTTAGTCATTCAAGTTTAATGTCTCCCATCTCACCGATATAGCACCTCTGGGTGGCTTCACTAGGTTCACTGAGGAAATGTAGAAACATTTTTACCCAGAGTAAGTTTATTTAATGTAAACTTTGTTGGATCAGTAGATTGACTTGGGCGTTAAAGAAATATGCTTAAAATTTCAGATTAAGCAAACATGGCAGTGTAGAGACTGGAACTCAGTAAATCAGGAAATAGAAATTCTAGGACCATTGTGCAAATGTATTTCAGATGTCCTAGACTATCAAGTATTGGTTAACTCAGAAAAGCTGAACAAAGCAACTTCAGAATATGAATGTTGGAAGCTTAGAATATTTGTGTTATAGTAAGCAATCAACTGTTGTATTATGTCTTCATTCTGTCGGCATTAAAGATTTTAATCTAGCTGAGGCATGCCTGCGAATCTTCTGCCAAGTCTATTTAAGAATAGAATTAAGAGTTAAGTGTCTGGAAATTCAGGTGTAAAGTCAGACAGGCAATAAGGAATAATTTGTATGTGTGAAAAAGCTATTCTCACATACACATAGTTTGGGAGCATATACACCTACCGATTCACCTAAGGAGGGGTACATAATATTAAATCTCCCTGTTCAATACTTCTCTTTAAAAAGCTATTTGTAAAAATGGAAATAATTTATTTATGTAATTATTAAAATAATTTTGTTTATATAGATAAAAATAGAAATAAAATTTGAATTATGCAGCCTTTAATTAAAGGATTCTTCAAGACACTTTCCTGCTTTGTTAATTTTCCAGGCATTGTTATTTTCCACATTTTTAAAAGCTACTGATCCAAGGAAAGCTACCCTTTAGTTTTCTACTATTGTATTTTGTTATAGTACATCAGGCAACTAACAAGAGAAATGAAATGAACGTCTTACATGCATCATTTTATATGTTCTGGAAAAATTGACTAAGGCTACACCACAATTAATTTTCAAAATGCTGTGCAGCCTTTCCAGTTTCCTGAAACACTTTTCAATCATAATGAGTAATTAAATGTACATTGCCACCAGAGATGGTAATTTGTAACAATTTTATTACAATGTGTCCAACAGTCCAACAGAAAGACATTAATTCATATAATGGCCTCTGAAAGGGGGTTGTCTTTGAATTATTTTTATAGTCATTTCTTGATGAATTGCCTGAATACATTTAAAAGGAATTTTATATTTAATATCAAAAAATTATATTTTGATATAAAATATAAATTTCCTTTTAAATGTATACATTGTATATATAATAATGATATAAAATATATTAATTTTCATCGTCACCCACTATATTCACCCATCCCATTCAGTCAGGCATGGAAGGTATTTTGCAAATCCCATTAGTTGAATAATTTTGACTGGCAGAGTCAAGGAAGAGAGCCTTTTCAGCTGTTGCGCCCATCGTTGGGAGCATTCCCCCCCCCCCGAGAAAGGTGGGACCAGGGGTGGGTTTCTCGGCCTGTTCCAACCGGTTCGATTGGAATGGGGCCGGCGGCATCCTCGTGCACGCGCACGGTGCACGCATGCATACTAGCGTCTGCACGACACTCCAGCTGCTCCTGGACGATTGCGCAGGCACTGTATGCGTCCTGCGCATGCGTGGAAGTGCAGAACTCATCAAAACCGGGTAAGGACTGTGGGCGGGCGGGCGCATGCGCCCTTCGCTGTTCCCGGAAGTTACTTACTTCTGGGTTCGGCGACCAACCAGTTCGCAGGGACCGCTGCAAACCGGTTGAAACCCACCCCTGGGTGGAACCCACCCTCTGGCCTAAATAAGTGCTTGAACACATGGCTCTGACAATTTGGTAGGGGCCCCCAGAAAAGCAGGCAGCCTTAAGGCCCTTCCCCCAACTTTTTAATTTTAATTATTTTATTCTTTTTAACTGTTTTTTATAATATTTATTTGTACATCACTAAGAGTCACTCTATGAGGGAGTTTCTAAATATGATGTACTGTATAAATAAAATATAATAACATTTTTGTTAAGATAGCTTTTGTATTGAAATCCTTGTTTGAAGTCCTATTCAATTGTTTTAAAGTAGCAGATTCAGATAAATTATTATGTAGTTTGCAAAAATCTGGATGATTGCTAAAATAGGTGGCTGTCTGAATTTTTGAAGCCCACGTATGGACGTCCAAGCTAAATAACTATTGCTCTGCAGTACAAAGCTATATATGCTACTCAGGGGTGAAATCAACTTACCTTTGCTACTGGTTGGCAAATGTGAGCGTGCGCATATGTGCGCTTGCTTCGTTCATACACGCCACCTCCGCGCATATGCAGGACCTTACCTGCATGCGCAGAGCATCAGAAACGGGATGTGATGATATCCAGGAGGGTGGGCGGAGCCTCCCACCATCACCACTACTGGTTAGCCTGAACCAGATCGAACCAGCTGAATTGTACCATTGATGCTACTCATAAGTACATTTCTCTTTGAATAGCAGAGTTACTTCCAAGTAAGGTGTTATATTCAATAACCTATTCAATAACCTTCAGTCTAATTATGTCATACAGTGTTATGATAGAAAGAATAGTGAGTGACTACATATAAAAGAAAAACTAAATCCTGAAAAGACATTGCCTTTGTCTGCATTCTGTAGAGGAGGTGATAAATGGACTTTTAAGAAGGGAAAATGTTTTACAAAGTTTGATTATTTTTTTAACGCTACTGAAATTTTTTCTTATAGGCATTTGGAAGAGAATCTAATTAGCATGATAGAACGTGGAGCATTTCAAGATCTAAAGCAACTAGAACGACTGTAAGTGTTATCTTTAATTAAACCAATTCTTTAATTAAGAGGTGGTAACGTTATGCATGTGTGTTTGAAATGTGGTGGGTGACAAAGTATATTTCATTCTTCGAAAAATGAAACTTGGGCAAGAATCAAATTCTTGTTAGCCTTATATGAAAAGATATGCACTGTGTTCTGTTAAAAGCATAGCTATTCAATATTTGCTTATTTTCCTATGAGAATATATAGTACTTTACAAAGCACCAGAGGATGGGCCATAGCCCTAATCTAAAATTTGATGAATATAGAGGAACAGAAGATGATGAAAGAAATGGCAGAGGTAAACAGGGAAGCAATCTGTAGTATAGTTACTAGCTAAATTTCAATAAGACACAATAACTATGGCAATCTAATTGCTATGCAATATCACAAGGAAAAATTTCGTCACATTAAGAGAAGTAGCCTTGAATTCTGGGGTGAACTTTTACACTGTCTTCTGAATCGAAGTAAAAGTGAGGGTCTAAAGAAGCATTTGAATTGAAGAAGATAAATAAAGATATACCAGACAGAGCTTTATAGTTGTGGGGAAACAAAGGAAGCTATAAAAAGGAGATATATGACTTTTATACTGTATTTAGGAAGTATCAGGAGCAAGCTCATAATATAGTACACCTGGTTGGCAAAAAAAATGCTGGATGGACATGGTGAGACAATTAAAGAGGAGATGATTGGAATAATTTAGGTGGAGAGGGAAGGGACAGAATTTTGCTCATCGGATAGAGAATAGAGACACTACATTATGGTAAAAGTAAAAGTTAAATATGAGGAGCAAGGGAGCTTATACCTACCTGCTGATATTGAAATGCTTCCAGTGATTTATAAGATTTCTCCATCACTAAAGCTTATTTTTACAACCAGTTGTAATTTGAGTTCTGTAGTTCTTTTTCAGTAAATGCTGAATTTGCCCGTGGTGCCAAAAGCAACCCAATCTACCTGTGCAGGACTGCTGCTACCTACTATTCGATTGCCCTTAAATATGAATGTACAGTTGTAGCCAAATGCCAAAAGACTCAGCCTGGCCTTTGGCAAATATGAGCTTGATTCCATTTGGCAAAATTGAGTCAAAGAGTTGCTTAAATCAGCATTAAGAAGAAATATACAATCATTGCAAACGCTATGTCTTGTGGAAAATTTGATATAATATGTCATATGATGAATGGCAGTTCCTTAGGTTAATGCATTTTTATAATGAAAAAGTGAAAGTTAGAATACAGTTTCAAACTAGATTTTATTTGCACAATTTCCTTTTTTACTCCTGTTGAAAATATATAATTGTATTTTGATTTGGTACATTAGATGAAAAAAATATATTGTGAGCTCAGTTTAATAAAGTTTCTGTTATGACTACTAGACTTTCTCCAGCCAAATAGTTATTAATATTGCAATAAAACATAACGGGAAATAATACTTGGTTCATTTGTGGTTATTTAAAAAGGATAAAACCTTAAAGTACTGAATGCATGTAGTTTTAGTGGAATTTTACTTGCCAACACTTCAAAGTGAAGCTAAAACTATAAATTGAAAAATATGGACATATTTTTTTAAAAAACTGTGTGACTTGTTATGGTTCCTGCATGTAAAATTTTAATATATGAACAGGCCTATAGATTGTGTTTGGGCCAAAAGCCTGCTTGTAGCCTTACGTATCCTAAAAACTGTAACTTAGATTAAGCAACTGGATGTTTCAAAACATACTGGAGTGATTTAGTTTAATAGACAGAAAAGTGCTTGAATTATTATGTGTGAATAAAATGCAGTCTTGAAAATGGTTCCATCATAGAAAACTGATGTTCAGCTAAGGGTGCTATTGGTTTCTCTAGAGTGAATGTGAGCTAAATGATGTATCTCCACATTAGTAGAGGTATGAACACTTCAGTACTCTTATTAAATATGTCCTTATTAGAATAGCTAGGTTAAGACAAATGTCCATATGACAAGGCTTCCGCATTGTACTAAATTATAATTTATTTAGCAATGGCTTGTTGAATAAATCATAATTGACTGCATTCAGGCAGCAGCCTGAGACATTGTGTGGTTTCCTAGATTTTGTTTAAGCCGTTATATAACCTTGGTTCATAGATTGGCAGCGCATATTATAAGATCATTGTGGTGTTTTTTTTTAATTTCTTTCCTGAATTTTTAAAAACCATTACACCAAGACATGCTCATTCGATATTCTGAAAAAGATGTAAATGAAGGTAATGGGTTACATATATTTCAGTCCAAACTTTCTTGGCTGTTTTGAACATGCTTTGATTGTTTCAACTTTTCAGAATTTACCAACAATGAGGAAACAGCAATTAGCAGAGAAAGATTGACAATATGAGCAGTCATATCCTTAGAGAGAAATAACACTTTGGGTTGCATCAAAGTGTATTTTCGTTCCTTGAAAGGAATGTTATGAGATTCTTTGCAAATAATTTCCTATTTAGTCACTAACAAGAGAGTTGATGAAGTAGGAAAAACAAATATTCATCTGTTTTATGTTAATCTTCACTTAGGTCATAATCAAGTTGTATTTGAAAATAATCACTCTTTTATCACTTTAATATTTTTCTAATAAGATAACATTGTTTATGATGGCCGGTCTTTATGAGATATGCATAGTTCTATCTGTTTTAATTTTACTAGGTTTCTATTTTTTTCCACTACAAGTTTGTTTTCCCCATTTTTTCTTTAATGAGTTTAAAGTAAAATAAAGCAACAAAAAAGTATACACTTAAAACTTCTGGAGAGTACTAGCTTAAGCAATGTTGATATAAATATATTAATTATCAACATATTTTACTGATGCTTATATACCACTTCAATGGTTGTCAAATCTGAACAACATACATCTGTAAATCGAAGTTAAACAATAAGAGTGATTATGATATTTTTTAGATATAGAATAATAACACCAACACTATACTTATATACCAAGGAAGATAACCCATGTTAAACAAACAGACACTTCAAGAAGAACAGCATTATAACAACTCAACTTCCATAGACTGATGGAAACAGGTTTTTATGTCTTTCCTAAATTTCAGTAGGATTCAGCCAATAGAAGCTCTGAAGGAATGGGAGATGGCCATTGAGAAGGTTGCTTCTGTGATTCCTGCTGGTGACACTTCTTCAGAAAAATTAGCCCAATCCATTTTTCCTATCCTTATTGAATTGACAGCTGCATTTGAGAATAGTACTGAAGACACCCAAATTCTGAGCCATGAGGAGCTTTAAGAATGATTTTGCATTCATATCAGAAGCATTGACACTTCTGGGTTGAATGGATGAACTGTGACAACAATATTGCCTGGGGGATGCCCAGTTGCGGCTCCTTTCATGTCCTTGGCAGGAGCTAGAGAAAAGGACAAGCACTCATCCTGCCCCACAGCAGGGTTTACTGACAAAAGGGCAAATGGCAAAAACGCGCCCGACTAAAACCGCGTGTTCTAAAGCGCTCCAATGAATGAGCACTGAATCACACCGACAACAGCGCGGCGACAGAAGCGCGCTGTAAAACTAACCCTAAACCTAAACCTAAACCTAACTCTAAACGTAACACTAACCCTAACCCTAAC